TGGATAGGGAGACCCTCTGAATGACAGATCAGAGAGCGAACTGATTTTGGAGCGTGTGGAATGTTCTAGAGAAGTGCCACCATCATTTGGCTTTTATTTATAAGGGAGATTGGCAATCATGGATTCTCTGTTGGCAATTATGTACTCCATTATCCCCTATGGGCAAGCGTCCTCTCCATTATTCCCTCTGGGCAATCATGCATTGTCTGTTGGCATTATGGATTCTCTGTTGGCAATTATGTACTCGATTATCCCCTATGGGCAAGCGACCATTCCATTATTCCCTATCGGCAGTCATGGATTCTCTATTTGCAATTATGTACTGCACTATCCCCTCTGGGCAAGCCTACTCTCCATTATTCTCTATGGGCACTCATGTATTCCCTATGGGCAATCGCTGTCCTTAGTTTTAGTACGTCCCGTTGAAAAGTCCCCAAGTACCATCCTAAATTTGGCCTCAAGGATTATCCCCAAATACTATTCCCTGATTGGCTGCGCTACCCATGAATTAAATCGCAGCTTGCCACGCCACCCTAGCTCACCACCAAGTTCCGCCTGTCAAAAGGCAGAGGCCTTTAAAGGATTCGCGTCATCCCCTTCCAAACAGTTCCTTGTAAGAACCTTCCGAGACCGACCTATAGCCATGGAAAGCGTAGAAGGCGGAGACCAATCCCAAGCGCCCGGCTTGTGTTACGTGTCACAAACATTCCCCTTCGCCCCGCCGCCTCGTTGTAGAAGCCGCGTCACGGTTCTGACCCAGGAGAAGGCGGCGGCGGCGGCGGCGGAGGAGGAGGAGGAGTCCGCTGAGTCTGAGGGCGGGGGCAGATCGAGCCAAGACGAGGCCGAAGATTTCCTCGGGCTGTCCCTCCTCCCTGCCTCATCTCCTCCTCCAGTTGCCCGCGCGGACTTGCTCGCCAGCGAAGCTTCCGCTTAAAGTATGCGCGTGAAAGGGGCGCGCGGCGGAGGCACTGACGACAACTGCTCCGACCATGCAATGGCGGTCGCTGGTGTTGGCGCTGCTGGCGCTGCGGCTGGCCGGGCACGCGCTCCTCTGGCTGGCCGGGCCCAGCGTGGGCTTCTACCAGCAGCGCCTGCGGGCCTTCGTCTGCAGCCCCGCCGCCGCCGCCCAGGAAGCCGCTTCGAACCGGCGCTGCTTCCCAGACGGCTTGGCGGCTCCGCACTGGGCCTCTTTTCTGGGCAGGGCCTGGGGTGGCAGTGGTAGCGGCGGCTCCTCCGCGGACAGGGATGGGAGCCTCGTCTGGAGCGGAGGGGGCGACGGCGGCGAAGACGACGAATACGAGCAGCGCTACAGCCGCGCCTTCCCTCTGCAGCTCCGCGGCCAGCTCCGCGACGCCGCCAGGAGCATGTTCGCCTTCGGCTATGACAACTACATGGCGCACGCCTTCCCTCAGGACGAGCTCAACCCCATCGACTGCCGCGGGCGGGGGCCGGACCGAGACGACCCGTGAGTGGGCCTGGGCGTGGGAGGGGCGGCCTTAGGTGGCCACCGCCACAGTCCTCCCATTTGGTTATACCCTGTTTTCCTCCCCCCCCCCCCCCCCCCCCGAGTTCTTCTAACATTGTGCTCCCCGGCTCTGTTTTATCCTTGTGGGGTCCTAACTTGGGCAGAGGAGTGACTGATCTAAGGTCATCTGACGAGCTTCCACGACAGAATGGGGCTTCGAGTCTGAGGCTTCGGGATCCTAGTCTGCCGCTCTAATCTCTTGGCTATTTATAGTAACTCTCCTTTCCGCGATTAAGTGTGTGGGCATGGAGGTGGTGGTCGTAGTGATGATGATGATCTATCACATCTTTGTAGTATACTTATTTGTCCGGTCTTCCTTGCAAAGAGATGGAGGCAGCATACATTTTATCCTTACAACAGCCCTGTCAAATAGTTCTGGGTGAGTGACTGGGGAACCCCCCCTCCCCAGCTTCAGGGTGAAGATTTGAATCTGGTTCTTTACAGCCCTAGTCTGATTCACTAGCCCATCAGGTGTGTGCACGTGTGTGCATACATGTGGCCCTGCGGGTGTGCTGCTTTCATGTTTGGGGAATGTGGTCTGATGTGAGGAAAAAAGCTGAGGAGGAACTGAAGGATTCTGTGGACTGCAAGATGTGGAGGCAGATGTAAGAATAGAGGATACTCAGGGGAGTGATGTGGTGGGAAGCAAGAACCAAAGGCTTGTGGTGATGTTAGGCAGATCACAGTCTTGTGACCAAAGGTGAAGGATCAGGGTTGCAGAAACATCAGTAGGAAGCCAGAATAACTGCTGCCTCATGATTCAGCATGTATTCCCTGCTTTACATGGAATCGTCGATTAAATGCAGAGGCCAGAGTTAACCATACAGATACATCGCAATTATATAGTGCCTGTCTGAAGTGCAGTCATCTTTCCAAAGTGCAAAGAATGTGGTAGACCTTTTCCTTCACCTGCCTCTTTGCTCAACCCAGAGCACTCCCTATGGGTAAATAACCCACCCGGAATGCTCCTATTTAAACCCATGCCCTTTTATTGCTGTCCGCTTTCCCCTCTCTAAGCCTGCATGTTTCTAATCTTGCTTGACCTTTTGGAGCTGGGGGGTGGAGGGGGGGTCAGAGAGAGGCTCAGAACTCCGGCTTTAGGCAGGCAGCTCCAAGGCGGAGAAGGGCTGGCAGGAGCCCGTGCGGAGAGGGCGGGCCAAGGTGAGGCATTAGCATATGGGCTGGGCCACATCAGCACCAAAATCTGGGATTGAAGGGGGAGGTTGCGATGGGGGGGCGCTGCAGATTTGATAGGGGGCGCCGCCCCACGCACCCCACCACTGTCTCCGGCCCTGGTTGTATCTACTGGTGTTGTCTTGTATGTTATGTGGTAATGAAAAGCTCTGTGAAGTTGTAGCTGACTTACCCCATAGGGTTTTCAAGGCAAGAGACAAACAGTGGTGGTTTGCCATTGCCTGCCTTTGTAGCAACCCTGGACTTCCTGGTTGGTCTCCCATCCAAGTACTAACCAGAGCTGGCTGGCATTGCTTAGCTTCTGAGATCTGACAAGGTTGGGCTAGCTTGGGCCATCCAGGCTGTTTTGTATTCTTAAAAAATCGTCAGACGTTTTGCTGATTGCATAAGTGTTGCTTCATTCTTCCCAGAAGGGGTTTCCAGTGGCTGAATCCCTCAGGTATAAAACCTGGTATTAAGGCTGTGATAAGCTGCTTTGGAAACAACTTATAGATTCTGCCTCTGTGCTTCTGCTGCTATAACTCTGTAGGTACTAACATACTATCTCTGTTGTGTTTTCTGGTTTAGATAGTACATACCTGCAGATCAAGGAATGCATCCATAATCTTCTGGTGTAATGTAGCTTGAGTTAATGTAGTATTCAGTGTTACTGTTAAACTAAAACGACCCTGGCCGCATGCTGTCTGCTTTAGAGGGGAGCATTAATATCATTGATAACTGGCCTGAAAAGTTTCTAGTCCATCCAGACTTACTCCCTGCAAATAACTCAGACAGCTCTGAAAAGGCAACTTCCATGTTAGGAATTCTTAGGAAAGGGATTGAAAATAAAACCACAGGTATTGTAATGCCCTTGTATAAACCCGTGGTTATGCCTCATTTGAAATACTGCATGCAGTTCTGGCTGCTGCATTCCAAAATGGATGTTGCGGAGCTGGAAAAAGTACAAAGGAGGACAATCAAGATGATGATAGGTTTGGATCACCTTTTTATGACAGAAGGCTGGAGAGTCTGAGACTTTTCAGTCTAGAAAATTACAGCTAAGGGGAGACATGATAGAGGTTTATAACATTATGCATGACATGGAGAAAGTGGGTAGAGAAAGCTTTTTTTCTCCCTGTCCCACAATACTAGAACTTGGGGGAACCAGGAGGAATCGGTTCAGGACAGACAAAAATAAATGCTTCTTTAAACTGTGAGTAATTAAACTGCGGAATTCACTGTCAGTGGGGTAGTGATGGCCATGGGCATAGATACGTTTAAAAGAGGGTTAGACAGATTGATGGTCCATCAGTGGCTACTAGCTGTGTGACTGAGGCGAGCCTCCATCTACAGAAGCAGTAAACGTCTGAATACCAATGCTGGGAGGCAGCAGTAGGGGAGGGATTTGGCCTGTATGCCCTGCTTGCTCTCCCAGACAACCGATTGGCTGCTGTGTGAAGCAGGATGTTGGACAAGATGGACTAGTCGTCTCATCCATCAGACTCTACTTATGCCCTGTTCCTAAGAGAGATTGCAGTTGTAAGAGAGGCCCAATAGTTAGACCTTCATGCTTTGCTTTGCTTGATTAAATCCCTTGTATCAGTTAGAAGGATCATTTGTAAAAGAGTAGGGAAATCTGCATGATATCCTGGAGACAGACTCCTGCTTGTCCAAACTAGTAATATTGGAGTAGGCAGTTGATTGGTATAGTCTAGGGATGGGCACGAACCTAAAATTTCCAGTTTGAGGTTCAGGGCAGTCCTGAAACTGAACACTAAACCAAACAAAAAATGCCCCAAACTGACCAGTTTGAACCCTCCTTTGCCACAGCCGGGAGAAGGGGGGCATCACCCAGGAAGGGTTAAAATGGCTGGCAGCCATTTCAGCAGTCGGTTTTGCTTCCCCCCACTTCGAAGTGGGGGGAGCAAAACAGATGGGTTTAATGGCGCACAGCCATTTAAACCTAGCAGCTGATAGGCAGACCCACCCCACTGTTGTGTTTAAATGGCTGGCAGCCATTTCAGCGGTTAGTTTTGCTCCCCCCCCCCTCAATTCCAAGCAGGTGGAAATGAGACCAACCAGTGAAATGGCTGACAGCCATTTCAGCCTAACAGCAGGGAGGGTGCACTGGTTAAAGAGATGGCAGTCTCTTTAAATTCCTTCTCCAAGCCGTGGCAGCACAACTTGGCGAGTGAACTCTGAGTTCACTTGCTAGTTTCGCCATCGCAGTGGCACGGCTAGCAAAAGCGATTTAAAGGAAACACTTTAAATGGCTTTTGCAAGCAAGTGACGTCCAAGCGGTGAGGTGACCCGGAAGTGGTGACCTGGAAGTTGCTCCACATCACGAACCACAAACTGGTTAGTTAAGCAGGAACGTTCGTGGAGGTTCGTGATTCTCCATGGACCACAGACTTTCACAAACTTCCATTTTTCCAGTTCGTGTCCATCTCTAATAGTTATTCAGTCGGGGGGGGGGGGGGTACTTCAGCAGAATTAATGTTTCCTCTCACTCTTAAGTAGACTACTTACAAACTTCAAAATTTTTGAAGCATTGAATGTCAGTTGTAAACATTTAGAAATCCTTTTCCTGCACAGCAGATTCTGTGTTCTTTGCCCACCGGTTTTGTTTTGAACTGTTTATTCTCTGAAGCTTTTTGTGGCTTAATTGGCATTGGTATTGCCTTCCTTCCTGTATAAAAATGTCAGACTTGAGCAAATGTGTGAATGTTTCCAGTTAGGCTGTTAAAAATTGTGCTGATTCCCTGTGTGCAGTTTGTAGGAGTCCTGGAATCTGAGTCCTTTTTTTTTTTAATGTGTTCCTGGAATCTGAGTCCTGGATCAAAACATAGGATTTGCATTCAGAGCCAAGTACTGCTAGAGTGAACTGCTTTTTGTTGGGGTACAACCTGTTTCTAAGGAGAAAACCTTTTAGTCTGGATAGTGACTTCTCTCTGCCACAGTTACAGTTTCTCAGTGAAAACAGAAAGCTAAACTCTGGCTGTATGCATCTGTGGTTGCTTTGGATTCCATGTTAAGGGTGCATGCTATATGCTTGGATATGGGGGAAACAATCTGTCTCTTTACAAACTTTTATTAAAGGTGGTTAGGTAGTAGTTGTATTCATACTGCACAGTGAACTGAGATTGCAGATTAAAATGGCTTGTTGCTATGCTTGTGTGTTTCCCTTTCTTCTCCTTTCATGCATGGAGATTGATTCAGAGCTTCCTCATTTTATCAAGGTCCAGTTTGCCAGGAATGCAAGCAGCATATAAAGTTGGAGTTAATTTACTCCCCACAAACCAAATTTTTAAACTGGGTTTAAACCAAGATTTAGAACCCTAGTTTGCAGGAAATAAACTGCAGTGTCATAATGAACTAGAGCTTCATCAAGCCAAATGGTTTTGGATCAAGCTTTGTGCATGAAGAAGATGGAAGTGTAACAAGCTGTGTTAGTGTCCAGTTTCAGTTTGTTGTGACATCTGAAGGTAGCCTATGGTTAGAAGTAATTGTTGATTGACCCTGAGTGTAATCAGTAGGAAAATGTTCCTCGTGAGCTGCCATAGAATGAAAAGGAATGGTTTTCATGAAAAGGAATGGTTTTAATCTCATGCATCTGGGATGTGTGGGATGAATTCATCTGCTGAGCATTTCCCAGTCAGCTCATGGATAACTCTCCCAGCTCAAAGTCCAGTACTCACCCCCCCCCCCCGAGTATGTTGCTTGCATTGCAGCTATTAGGCGTTTAGAGTGAGCAAAATTTCAGATGGTATCCACAAGTCCTTTTTCTAGAATCAAGGTCCATGGTTCATATAGGACACTTATACCCGGTTTCTGAACATACATGTAACGTCCATGGAAGTTGCAGTTAAGATCTGTTGGTATGAAAGTAACTGCATGTGGCTGAATTGAAAACACATCTAGACAGTGGCTTGATTTTATTAATACTGGATTTTAGTTATGTGGCTAAGGGTACAATCAGTGCTCACTTAGCTGGAAAGTTGTCTAGTTCATTGGAATTTATTTCCAGGTAAATAGGCATAGGATCAGGCCACATGATTTATGGATTATATATTTGGATTAATCAGGGAGAAAAACCTATATAGTTCTAACATCTAACCAAATTTATTTCAGTTCTAATCTGAATATCAATGATGTCCTGGGAAACTACTCGCTTACTCTGATTGATGCATTGGATACCCTAGCAGTGAGTTCAAAATGTTTTTTAATTACTGGCAGAAAGAACAAAAATATTAAATATTTTCAGAAGTTATTATTATTAAGAGGAGAGTAAATTGTAAGTTGAGGTATCTTGGATAAAGTCCCAACGATCTGAGGAAAGGAGAAGTATTAAATTAGATATTCTTGCTTCCCCCTCTCTTTTATGTTTTCTGTGCATGCGATTTGCAAAGCTGGTCACCAGTAGGTACCAGAAACATCTAATTCTTTTATGTAATCTGGGTGTCCAGGAGCAGGCATCCCCCCAAGTTCTTTGTTTATTTCAGGCAGTGTCGGGCTCTCTTTCTTCAGGATTGATGGGAGGGGCAGGTAGTGCCAGGTTTTGGAGATACTTGGAAGCAATGAGAGATTTAAGGGCGTATCAGGGTCTGGGGTAACAGATAAGTGAAGGACTATTGGTATAAGCTATATAGGATGAAGTCACAGTTGAGATGTTCTAGAAATTAAATGTTTTTGCACATCATGAAGCCAATCACAGTTACTTACTTTAGGAAAGTATTTGATTTTTTTTTTAGTGAAATTGTTCTGGTAAGGAAACTTGAGTACATCTTAAAATTGTTTGATATTGGAGCCCAGTTAGAATGTTATATGTTGCAATTTCTTATTACTGTGAACGTTATAATTCTGTTTCTAGTGAAATGCTCCAATGCCATTCCATGTATATACCTATAACATCTACTTTCCTCCTGTGTCAGTGTTAGTACTGTTCTCAGTATGTTTTTCTACTGTGGACAGAGAGCTAGATCTTTTGTAGATGGTGTCTTGATGTAGTTACCTATGTGTATTCAATGAAGTTGGTTTTTTTAAATACTGGACAGGCTTGTATAGTGCATATATTTAGAATTATTCCATTTAAATAATTCCAGCCCTAGGCTTTTTCTTTCTTATTTTTTAAGCCCCCGGAGGGGATTTTTTATTGCATTTTTTATAACACTACAAACTACAACAGAAAATGGGAAGGGGGACTACATTTATGGCATAAAGAAAGATACCCACTACTGACTAAAAACCCAAGAGAGGAGATCATCCCACCGCCTTAACCATACATTTAGTCTTAATCCTGTTAATCTTACTATCAACTGAGTCAAATTTAGCATTGACTTTTTCAAGTCTTAAGTTTAAAATTTAACTGTCAAACAGAAACACCCCAAAGCATCTCACTTCAACATTTTTTAAAGGCACAATTCTGAGTCCTTCAGCCTTTACTTCTCCTTGGCTAATCTCTTCCGAAGCTTATAAGGACTTCAAGGGGCTGCCGCCCCTTTCTCTGAAAGAGAGTCCTCCCAGGAAGATTCCGAGTCCAGCTCGCCATTGGACTTACTGTCCTCTCCTTTTTCTCCTCCTTTCCCTGGCCCTCCCAACTGGACTCTTAAAAATTCCCGTGCTTTTTGGACAATCTTTTCTTTTTTATCCTTGATTTTGAAGGTTACGTCTTCTGGAGTTAACCATCTATATCCAATTGCATTTGTCTGTAGAAAAAGAATTAATTCTTTATATTTCTTTCTTCTTTGTCTTATCGCAAATGGAATGTCTTTCAACGTTCTGATGGTATTCTCCCCCACTTTCAGGGGTGCTCCAGATACTGCTTTCATGATTGTATCCCTCACATGCCTCTTGAGAATCTTACCACAATTTCCCTAGGCAAATTATTTTTCTTTATATATCCTGATTATGACCTATAGGCCACATCCATTTCGTTTAACAGGAGTTCCGCCTTCATATCTGTCACTGGGGACAATATTTCACTCATTAGTTCCTTCAGATGCTCTACCTTTGTCTCTGGCAAGCCCTGGAAGCGAAGAATCATATTAGCCTTTTCCAATTGTAATTGTAACAGTTGATCTTCCGTAGAAACTTGCTTCTTTTCCAGCTTTTGAACTTTCTTTTTCATCTTTTGTGCAGTGGTGTGCACTTCTTTCATCTTTTCATCCGTTTCATTCATCATTTTAAGTGTCTCAGTTATCTGTGTTTGCTGTGTGGTGATGCACTGAGTCATTTTCGACATCTGTTCCTTGAGGTTACTCATCTGGTCCAGTAGAGGGCGCATAGATTCTGCCAAAGTCTTTGCCAGCTCGTTGGTTCCTTCCGGTTTGGGGCTCTTCGTTAGTTTCGATTTCAAAAGTTTCTCTTTCGCCGTCCTCTTCCCTGCCATCTTTCTCGATTGTTTACTTTGAAAAATATGTTGAAAGTCTCTGAATATGCGCTCAAACGCCTGAACTCGCCTTGGTGAGTATTTCCTAACAGTTGCACATGCTTTCTCTTCTATTCCCCCCCCCCCGATTAGCTCAAAAGTTCATGCGGTTAGGAGACGCCCCTCCCCCGCCTGCCTCACTTTCCGTTTCTCAACATGGGGTAGGGAGCTTTCATTTCTCTTTAACCGTCGTTTCGCTCAGTCCGACTCACGTTCATATCTTGTCTTCCAACCCACTTTGCTTCGTTTCGCCCGCTCGATCTCCTACGCTTGCCCCGGTCAGCGTCACTAGATCCCATTCGGGCACTGCACAGAAGGGACCATTGGGACGGAGGAGCGCCTCAATTCACCCACAACACGCAGGCGAAGAGGCAACTCCTTGAAAGTCCCCTGGCTAGGAGCCTTCCGTCAGGCTCCCTGGGGGGGGGGGTAACGGGCCAGCACTCCCCCTCCTTCCCGCCGTGCACCGCCCCCATCCCTGGGAGGTCCGGGAGATGCGTCTGCCTAGCGTGCCGCCATCAACCGGAAGTCAGCCCTAGGCTCTTTCAATGCTTTTTGCCGCAATAGCTTGGCATTTTAAAAAGAGGTGGGCTTTTAGAAAGTACAAAAATAGAAATAATTGTATACTTGTTATATTCTGTATTAGTGGCTTGATATGTAATTAACAAATTTTGTAGTCTGAAATCTTGACTTTCATTTGATACTCATTTTCTTTCTCAAAGGTGATGGGAAATTCTTCAGAGTTCCGAAAAGCTGTGAAATTAGTGATAGAAACAGTTTCGTTTGACACAGATTCAACTGTGCAGGTCTTTGAAGCAACAATCAGGTAGGTTCTACTAAAAATCTAACAAGTGTTGTTGTTGTTCAGTCGCACAGTCGAGTCCGGCTCTTCGCGACCCCATGGACCAGATCACGCCAGGCCTTCCGGTCTTCCGCCGTCCTCTGAAGTTTGCTCAATTTCATGTTTGTTGCATCTATGACACTGTCTAACCATCTCATCCTTTGCCGTCCCCGTCTTCTTTGACCTTCAATCTTTCCCAGCATCAGGGAAAGTGTACTGAGCAATAATTCTGCACCTTAAAGAAACTGGAAAAGAATGCTTGTTGTTTAAACAACATGGTGTGACTGATGTCATTAATGTAATAAAACAGCAGTAAAACTAATATTAAATACAGTGCACAGGACACAGACTTCATTTTAAACTAATCCTAGCAGGGAATTAAAATGTAGTTTCAAGTTCAGTCCTGCAGTGTCAAATGCATGTCAAATTAAAATATCTTTACTTCCATGGGAAGCCAAAGAAGAGGTTGGTGGACGCTGAGACAGCTCACTGAACGCACTTCCAGTCTAAGTGAAGCATGCAGCAGTCTATAATTTCTTTCAGCAGCCTCTTTTGCACTCCATTCCTCAAAAGGTGTTTCTCAGATTCGTCGGGAGAACCTTCTGAGGTGACCTGTAATACAGTGGGTGCGGCTGCTTTGGGAAATGACTATTCCTATGTACAGAAACTCTTAGCGTGAATGCGATTTTTCTCAATCCTGGTTAGTATTTTTATCTTATGCTATAACTAGAAGTACTAATTAATTTGTTCAGGTGTCATTTATGTTAGTGGAAAAGTTCCAATGTACTCAAGGAGCAAATGCTTCCCCAATGTTTAAAAACAAGAAATGTGTGTTGCGTGACTTGTAACTGCTTTGAGCCTTTTTAGTTGAAAAGTCCACTACGGGAATATGTGTTCTTTCCCCATTCTCTACACATAGATTTAGAATGTTTAGTAGTTTTAAAGAAATTAAGGAAAAAAAGATGTAATGCAAGCATGAAGATTTCTGAAAGTAACATACTACCAGTAAACAGTGATTTACAGAAGTTTACAGAAAATAGAACATTTGAAACTAACACCTGTAGCCCAAGCAGATTGTTGAGTCAAAAACAATAGTACCACATAGAAGCCCTACTACCTGTTAAAAAATCGATACTAAAAGCTTCTTGCGAGTGTTTCTCAAGGTTACTTCCACTGTTTAAAGATAAAGCACATAAAGGCACAATCAGTTGTTTGCTTTTACTGTTCATTTATTGTTACAAGATTCTGTAAAGCGACTGGAGACATGTTTGGATCCAGCCACAGTTTCAGGAAAGAAATGAGAGGTCCCCTTTTCACCACTTAAAAATGTTGTGCTGAAGATAATAGGTCCTGCATAGACAAAAGTCATGTGGGTTTGTGGCTATGGTAACAAGGCGAATTGAGCAGGAAAAAGCTGACTGGATCCGACCTGGAGCAACAGGCAAATAAGCAGTAATTAAAGCAGACTGGGAGGGGAAAAACCCAAAATCAGCCAAAAGTCTTTGTAAAGGAAGTACCTGGTGCCAGAGTAGCATGCTAAATTGTCTCTAGAAACAATTAATAATCTATCTACAGCTCTTTCAGGACTATTGAGGCATGTTCCTTGTAGTTTTATCCCAGTCCTTGATCTTGCTATTGGGTTTTGCACTAGTTGAAACTTCCTAGTAGAGGCTCAGTGCTGACCCGCAGATGGCAGACCTGGCCTCAGTGATTCCTCCCACAAAGGCCAAAACAGCCTTGGAAAGGTCTCTACCCCCTCTGTCCGCCTTTTACTGACAGAAACACAAGGTGGAAGACTGATACAGATCCATCTGTGCAGGTTGTGTTGTGGTTGTCTAGCGATGGCCACTGAAGGCATTAATTTCTTAAAGCTACAGGCACAGCTTCTATCATTTTGGGGTTTAAATCGCCCAATGCGTTTTTTAAAAAAGGTTTCAGATTTTTCTGCAAACCTGGGGCTTTTTTCAACCTGCTATGGAACCAACATGTACTGCAAGTAATGCTATTTGGAATGATAGCGAAACTTATGTTCCCATGTGACCTCAGCAAAATAATTAAGTTGAAATAATTAGTGTGTTTGTTGCTGTTGGGGCACAAAATTAACATGGTATATATTTTAAAAATTATTCACTAAATGTAAGGTAAAATGAATATCCCAGGTTAGATTTTGCACTTTTTAGGGAATCAGGTTTTTCTGGGAAATACTTTGATCCATTTTTTTGGGCTAACCCATTATAATGTTAGTGTTAACATTTGAGTTTTTATTTCACTAATATGAAAACACATGCCATCTGGAGACAAAAGCAGCAAATTTTATATTTCTTTCAATCTCTTCTCTCCTAGGGTTTTGGGAAGTTTACTTTCAGCACACATCATAATAACAGATGCCAAACAGCCTTTTGGTGATATGACTATAAAAGGCTATGATAATGAGCTGTTACATATGGCACATGACCTAGCAGTAAGGCTTTTACCTGCTTTTGAGAACACCAAAACTGGAATTCCTTATCCTCGGGTAGGTGTGTTGTGAAGGCCAGCTTATATCTGAGATATTCTTATGCTGATCATTTTCTGCACCATTGCATATTTCACCTGTGGATTTAAGTATTACATAAATTATCTAAGTATATGAGTGTGTTTTGAGAGATTAGTGTAGAATATCCCCCAGTTCAATGAAGCGCTGACCTGGCTCATTCTTGGTTACGTACACAACTTCCTCTTTGTCATGCAACCGTAGCAGCTGAAAAATATGCTACTGTGCCAGCAAGGATCACCTTTAGAAATGGTTTCTGTAATAATGGACAGGCTGGGTTATCTGCTAGCGTGTCAGTGGTGCTGTGTTCACAGGGCTGTTCTATGAACATGGCTTCTCATGTCTTAACTGGCCCTCTAGCTAGATATTTACAACACTCTTTCCCTGTGGAATATGATGCAATTTCAGAACAGAGCACTGAAACATTTGAGTCACCTTGTAACAATTGCATACAATGATTATGAGGAGGTGAAATAGTGACTTTGAGGGACACAAAGGGTAGGAGTGTAACTGTGTACAACTGAAGAAAGGAGCATATAAAACTCTTCCCTTTTCAGGTAAATTTAAGAACAGGAGTTCCTTCTGACAGCAATAACGAGACTTGCACTGCGGGAGCTGGCTCTTTGTTGGTGGAATTTGGAATTCTTAGCCGGCTTCTTGGTGATTCTACTTTTGAATGGGTAGCCCGTCGAGCTGTGAAAGCACTCTGGAATCTAAGGAGCAATGACACTGGATTGTTAGGTATTTAATCTGTCTCCAGAGCTCTTCCATTAAAGGCTGTCACTAATTCATCATCAGGAACATGTGTCTTAACTATTAAGAGTGTAACAAAAACATACATTTACACTTGCATAAACAGCTGTATTGTAAATCAGAAAATATTACATGGTAATCCTCATAAATACTACAACGTCTGTTCTAAGAGCAACAAACCCAATTAACCTAATTAGTGTTCTTGCAGGAACTTTTAGTTTATATTTCTCTCCCTTGGAAAGAGAATACAAATTTTTAATTTATATTTACAGTGTGGCAAAAAATCTCTTTAAATCCTGTTGATTGGATCCTATGATCTGTGAGCACAGTGGCACTCGTGGTTGCAGATATTTCTTGTCTCCCCCCTGCTATCTCGAGACTTCTGAAAAGTGAGGAGGGTGATCATGGTGGTGTAGATAAAATGTTACCAGGCATGGGGGGGCTGCACAGTGAATAAGGTGAAATTGGCACACACTGCTCTTCCAGCATAAGAGGCTCATAGTAGCCCTCTTCGGCGTTTTGTCTGTGAAATTCCTACAATCCCCAGCAGCTGTGTGTGATGCAATAAGCTAACAGGTTTTGAATGTGTCACCATGCTCATTCTTTATCTTAAAGCCTCTGTTAAATTAAGAATTGGTCTGTCTTGGGGACCCTGTTTGGGTAGAAAGGCAGCATAGAAGTGTTTTAAATACAAAAACATTAAACTGCCACCAGGATAGTAATACTCTGTGAGAACAACTTGTTCCAAGCAAGGGGATTTCCCTGAACCCCATATGCAGTATTTTTACAAGACAGAGTTGTAAGCTAACTACATAGGATAGGTATTTTCTTATGTGCCACTCCTTTCTCTAAAAACAAAGCAGAGGAAAGAAATATATTTACAGATGTGACAGTTTACACTGTTTTTTGCATGTCAAATCTGTTGATACAGTAATTTAAAAAGAGCATAAAGTTGGATCCATACCGTCCTTGCAAAAGTGGAATGCATTTTTGGGTGGGTTTGTGTCTCCTCCAATTGCAGCCCTCTGTTCCACATAGCCTGAAAGTCTCTTCTGTAGGAAGCTGGGTGTGTGTGTCATGACCCCAGCAGGTTGCCACCTTCTGCCGCCGCCACCCTGGACTTAGGTCCCTTGAGAAGGCCCAGGGTACCCTCTCCAAGCCCCTTCAAATTTCCCCTTTGTAGCCGAGAAACATAAGCGTGATGACCAAGCAGAGAAACAATTGAACAAAAAGGGTTTATTATTACAGTACTGGGCAGGGGAAAGACAAGACAGGGTGCTTTAACATACATAACAGTGTTGAAAAGGCAAAATAAACACAAAGCTAACACAGCTACCGATTACTCCTTAACTGTTACTACTTCCAGGCCCACAGCCTGCCTTTTATACCAGGCTACACTACCTGTTCTCACTCTGTCCCAGTGAGGAATCCAGACCAGCCTGTCCCCTCAGTGAGACCAGGCCGCAGAGAGATGACAGCAGTGAGGGATCTTTCTCTCCCCCAGACCAGGCCGCAGAGAGAGACGAAAGAACCCCGTTTTCCACAGTTAACAGCTTAAGACAGACTCCCCGCACAGAATCTCTGCACTCTGATTGGCTATAACCCTCTCTAAGCATTATGCGGTTTGTAGGCTGTCAGCTTTCTACAGCCAGGCCGCACTAGGCCTTGCTCCCAGTCCTGCACAGATCATGACGGGGTCATGAAGAAGGAATTACTCTGTTCTGTGAATGGAGTCCCATGAGTGGTGGTGAAGCCTTATACATTCTTGGGAAGGTGCTATCTTTGGCTGGTTTATAAACATTATATTGAACATAGGGTTGTCCTTTTGACCTATTTAGAAATATTTGGTGAAATACTTTTAAAGCATTAAAGTTATTGGAACAAAAATACTTTAAATCATCAGCCAGTGTGGTATTTGTGCTAACTGTGAGTGTTTAATGCCATCAATTCGCTTCTGACTTATGGTGATCCTGTGAATTAATGACCTCCGAAACGTCCTGTTGCTAACAGCCTTGCTCAGAACTTGCAAAACTGATGGTTGTGGCTTTTTTATTGCATCAATCCATCTCATTTATGCTAGCTACAAAAAAAAATACTATAGCTGAATTTCATCTTTTCACAGTAATAGTTTTTTTAATGTAGTAAATTATGACTATAGTAAGGCTTCTATGAAGATGTCACCAAACAGTTTTTTCTTGTAGCATTTATTCTGTAACATTTGTTGTCGTGCAGTTTCAGAATTTAAAACCAGAAATAAAGTTATCATCAGTGATTAAAATCTAAGTCCCACCGCCACAAATACTGCAGCTGTGGGATAGGGGAGAGTGTGTGTGTGTGTGGGGGGGGAAAGTAACCCCCACCCTCTGTTATCAGAAAAGTATTGCTGGGTCCAACCCATTTAGTTTTCTTGTGACTTTTTGAAATTTTCACTCTGTCTTGAGAATTGTCAGTTAATTGTGATACAATGTGTGTAATATGCATTGCTTGCCTTGGATAATAATGCAATGAAATGTCCTTACATGTGTTTTACTTCAAAGGCAATGTTGTGAATATTCAAACTGGCCATTGGGTTGGTAAGCAGAGTGGCTTGGGAGCAGGATTAGACTCCTTCTATGAATATCTTTTAAAGTCATACATCCTCTTTGGAGAAAAGGAAGATCTAGAGATGTTCAGTGCTGCTTATCGGAGTATTCAGAACTACTTAAGGCGAGGGTATGTGCAGCTTTTTTATGTGTATTTAAGCACAAGCCTAGCTATGTGGAATGGATTCTGAGACTTCCTCTTGTAACATAATTTCATTTATTCTGGTTTTGCATCTTGCTCTGCATCTGTCTCTAGGCCAGTGGTGGCGAACCTATGGCATGGGTGCCAGAGGTGGCACTCAGAGCCCTCTCAGTGGGCACGCGTGCCATCGCCCCAGCCAGGCCCAGACCATAATTAAAGTGTCGAATTCTCTGCCAAATAATTTTAAGTAAATGAAAGCATTTGGGATTGCTTTCCTTACTTTGTTTGGATCATCTTAAGTCAATGTGTGAGTTGTTTTTTCTAAAGTAAAACCTCAGTATTCAGGTTAAATTGCCGTGTTGGCACTTTGCGATAAATAAGCGGGTTTTGGGTCGCAGTTTGGGCACTCGGTCTCTAAAAGGTTCTCTGCTCTAGGCATTTCTTCTAGAAGCTGTGAATGAGCATTTGTTGTTTAATAAATTAGCACATATATATTTTTTATTCAAGACTCCCATATTACTTTGATGCCTTCACCAAACCTTGTATAGGTGTATGAATATAATGCTTGTTTTATCCACCCTCTGCTTGGTTTGGGAAATTGTAACCATGTTTTGGTATCTTTTCAAAACAAAAGCAGCTTTGCCCTGACCTGGATAGCCCAGGCAAGCCCAATCTAATCAGATGTTGGAAGCTAAGCAGGGCTGACCCTGGCAAGTACTTGCAAGGAAGACCTCCAAAGAACACTGGGGCTGGGACACAGAAGCAGGTTACTCAAGCCACCTGTCTGAAAACATCCAAGTCCCAGTAGGGGTCCCCAGAAGTCACCATGGCTTCTAGGCACGCATGTGCGCGTGCGCACCCCCCCTAAGAAAACACAAAAGCAGTTTTTAAGTCTGTTACAGGTGCTGTTTGTAAGAGCAAACAATGTTTGATGATTGATATTTAGTTCTATGGGTGAAGATTTGGCATGGTTCTTTCAGAGGTTCTCTGCTTGTGGAAGGATTTCTGTCAGTGGAGCATAACTGCCTTTCCTGTTTTATCCTCTCCCTCCTGCTGTGGCCCAAAATATTCTCTCAGAAAGCTGTTTCACTGGGCAAAACATTTTGGCAGCACGGGATTTGGGGGTATTTTAGGCTGCAGCCGGTGGGGGGGGGGAGTGAAAAAATTTCCCTCCTTTGTTGGAAATCCTTCTGTCAGCAAAGATGCTGCATGAGACCTAAGCCACCTTTCCCCTGCCCTAGTGCAAATTATGAATATAGCCTTGTTCTTTTTTTAGAAGAGAAGCCTGTAATGAGGGCGAAGGGGACCCACCTCTCTATGTTAACGTAAACATGTTCAGTGGGCAGTTGATGAACACCTGGATTGATTCTCTTCAGGCTTTTTTCCCTGGACTTCAGGTATTGTCAGTATGGTGGAAAGTGCAGAAAACATTGAACTTTTAAGGTGTTTTGTAAGAAATTCTACTTCCCCAATCAGAAAGGTATCTTGTTGGTTTTTACTGCAAAACTGACATCTGTCAGAAGACCTGCATGCCCATCACTTGAATAAACCAGGAAGTAAATACAGTGCGAGTTAAACTACTTGTTATGGTGGTATGATTCATCTCCACTTCTGTTGGAGGAATAGGGTAGAGAAGCAAGTCACTGTCGATTCTCGGAGCATGGAGAAGTTGCCAGGCAGCTGCTAAGCATTTCTTGAAATTGCAGGGGTGTTACATGGCTGGGTGGCCACAGTAGCAGGAAGATAATCTTTCGTATGGAAGTGGCTAGCTTTTTTGCATTTCATCAGATCACGGTGTTTCCTCCACAGGGGATGTTTTGCTATGGGAGGGCTTGTAGAGAGATGTGATTTAGTATTCGTATGTACACCCATACAGTAGCATTCTTGTGCAGGAAAAGCTGCTGTCCCCACAGTTGTTAAAATTGGTTTTCTTTATCTGTATGGAGCTGTTCTTTTATGTGTGTTGGGGTTTTTTTAAGCTGTTCTTTTATGTGTATGATTTTGCCGTTGTTGCTTCTCTTCAGGTTTTAATAGGTGATGTGGAAGATGCTATTTGCCTCCATGCATTTTATTACGCCATATGGAAACGGTATGGAGCTCTTCCAGAGAGGTACAACTGGCAGTTACAGGCACCAGATGTCCTTTTTTATCCACTAAGGCCAGAGTTAGTGGAATCTACTTACCTTCTTTATCAGGTATTTAAATTTTCTCTTAAACCACTCCTGGATGTGATCTAGCCATATTTTACACAAATATGCTTAATGGACTATCTCTTGCTAGGAAGGAAATCCGAAATTTTGTCCTTAAGCTTTTGGGTAGTACAAAATACATCATTGTGTATCTAAGGGCTGACTGACATTGTCCTTTTGGGTTGTAGTTTATCATGCCTGTGATAAGCAATTTGAATCCATGGCAACCACAGCATAGATATAATTTCCACAAACCTTATGGCTTGGGGTGTGGTAAATCAGACAACTGCTTTCCCATAAATTCACTGTTCTTTGAGACCTGTAATCCCTGGCAAAAAATCCTTAAGTGCTGTCTTCAGAAATGTTTAATGGGACTGTTGGTTCAATTGTGTTCTGAGTGCTTTCTCTTTGCTCTCTGAGTGCTTTCTCCTTTTTCTGGGATCTAGATAAACAAGCTGTTACTCTCTTTACAGTCAAGCAGGCCTTTAGCACTACATGAGAAACCATAAACCTTAGCCAGATGTTCCACAAACGCGGATGCAGACTAACTTTTCTGTAAGTGGAGTGGAGCTTTCTTGTCTCCTCCTCACTGCAGCTGAGTGAACTTGTTGAAATGCTGCTTTTGGGATAAGGGATCCTGAGCAGCATTAGAGGAGTCCTGAGGAGTGACATTAGAGGAGTCTGCAGTAGAAAGGGGGAATTGGCAGAACTGGCAAAAATTGCCAGTTTACTCTGGATCTAATGTATAGGCTCTTCAACGGGGGAAAAAGATTGATCTTTGGTCTTCTGTGCAGTCCCACATTGGGGCTGTGCAGGCCAGCCAGTCAGAAGAATTTGGGATTTGTAAAAAGTGAGGAAAAATCTCTCCACATCTAACAATTTCTATACAAAACATTTGAAGACTATTTAAGATACTACTTGTATTCTGTTGCTGTTAAAACTTGATAATAAACAAGATTGGTAGGGACTTTAAGGACAAGTTAGCCTGTAATTTAGGCATCACAGAAAATATGTTTGTAGAAGCAGTAGCTTTACTTCGGTCTGCTATCCATTTAATTTAAAACTTTTGTTTCAGCAAAAGCTCATAGTGGAATATTGGCTGGTTCTAGCTTGTTGGTATGTCATTCTTCCCTGCCGTGTTAGTGGGGAATTTGTCATTGAGCTTCATAGAGTCTCTTGAAAAAACTTGATTTTAAAAACACAAGATTTCATATTTGCCAGCCAAATTAAAGCAACACAGTGGCACCAACATACTCAAGCTTAGGAATGCACAACTCTAATTTTGAAGGTCACTTTCATACATATTGTTGCATTAACCCCAGAAAAGTGTCTTGGTTGTATTCAGGGTCCCCAAGTGCTCTCACCTGCTTGAAGGCACATTTTTAATGTGGCAAGAGGCCCCAGGGCTTGCCTCTGCAGTTATGCTGGCCCTAGGATACTCTGAAGACCACCATAGTTCAGCATAACATTTCAGACAAAAAAAAAATTCCCCTCCGTCTTGTACATGGGGCAGTTGTTGGAGAGCACAGTTTTTTTTTCTTGCTACCAGTTTTGTTGTTGGATTATGCACATGTTCTCATCAAAATAAATTACACTGAATCAAATGGAGCTCAATCCCAGGTAGTTAAAGGTAAGAACTTGTAATGGTGGCTAAGTAATGATTAACCGCTGACACTGAGAGAATCCTTTCCCCCCTTTTTTATCTTTGTCAAGTGGTGTATGTTTGTCAAGTGGTTGTCCATAGAATATCGTACCTGGGAGCTGTTACAAAAAGGAGAAGGATGATAATGTGGGTGGAAGTCAGGCAAAGTGTGAAAGGGGATGAAATAAAGTGCGTTAAAGTTTGACAGATTTTTATGAACAGTCCCTAAAGCTAATTGGAGGTGATATTAAAAATTTAGAGAGCTTCAGAGTTAGCTTAGCAAGCATGACCTTGGATGGAACTTTTCTTAAGGCTGCATTCCTATGGATACTTGTGTGAAAGGAAGTCCCAATAAGCAAACTGGGACTTGTTACTGAATAAATATTGATAGGAAAAAAGTTACTTGATCAAGCTACTTAAATGAATGCTTTGTAGTTCTTTTTGGCATACAAAACACAGGACAAATGTGTTTTAAGAAGGAGGGAAAAAAAGAACCAGCTCATAAACTATATCCCCACATATTATTTTCTTAACATTTGTTGAATTAGGGTTAATATTAAAAAAATGAAGCTTTTCCCAATCTGACAGTTGCATTGCTTCAGGAACTTTCCTATGAAAGTAGGAACTCTCCTATGTTGAATACTTGTTGGTTCATTTTCAGTAACACTCTTGGGCGGATTTAACAAAATGGACTGTCTGTCATGAATAGGAAATGACTTGCAGTCTCTGTTCCTTGTGTGGAACAGCCAGAAGGCTTTTTGGGGGGAGGAGGGAAAACAGAAGCCAATGGTCAGCTGAGTTGGTTTCTGTCCCCCCCCCCCAGCTTTTCTCTGGGTTCCTACAAAATTGGGATGTCGAGTGAAGCTGGGGGGGGGATTCAGAAGTCAGTGGCTCTGTCAGCTGAGGGGGGGGGCTGCAGAAAGTTGGGAGGGGACAGGAGAGTCTCAGCTGATTGAGAGGGGGGATCAGCTCAGAGTTGGCTTCCAGGCTTCCTCTCCAAACATCTTGGTGTGTACCTGCAAGCCTAGAACTCACTGAGAACCTGCCGGAGTACAGTGAGTGGATCCGAACAGATCTGATAACTGGCTCACCTCTATTTTTGACAGCTGAAGAGAGCATGATTGGCTATTGATCACATTCATGTGAATTTGTTGTACCCCCACTACAGTGTTCTTCAGGGGGGAGTGGAAACACTAAGGAAAGGGCAAGAGAACTAACCAGTGCTGTGGTCCCATGCTTTTCATAATGCCAGCCAGGAGCACACTTTGTTGGCAGTGGCAGCAGCCGCAAAATACCAAGTAAGGGGTTACTATGGATCTGCACATGTATACTGAGCAAGTTCCAGTTTTTGAAATTAAAGATGTGTATCTGGGCCACAAACAATGGAAACTGGAAATCTCTCAAAGGCTGTGAATAGGCAAGGGCTTCAATCTGCCTGATAAAGGCCATTTGTTTTTGAAGAAGAATATGGATTTAAAGGTCCTTGAGCTGTTTTTAGAAAAAGTAACCTGGATTGTAGAAAGTCATTCGACTGATGCCAGGGAAGCAAAGTCTTTTAAAAAGAATACGGTTGGTTGTTTTTTAGATTAGCGTTAGTCGTGTTGAAGAATAAGTGTGGAGACTTAGCTTATCTAGTCACTTAAAAACATTTGAACCATACTTCTCTAATCAACAATATCATAGTTTGTTATCGTATTTCTAAAATATTGTTCGCTTCCCTCTAAAAGTATATATTGATGTATTTCTTTTGTAAAGTAATAACATTTTTTCACTATTTACATAACAAGCCACTTTTGTAAAATGCTGTGCTATGCTCAGTATTGATGTTGTTGTGTTTTATCTTTGAATTATTTTTATGTGTGAATTTTCTTATTACGGTTAAATATGATTTATATTGTTAAGATTTAACAAAATTCTTGGTATTTAAAAAGTATGTAGACTCCTTAAGAAGTTGCCTTTTGCAGACCTGAGTGAAGTTTTTTGCTTTTATTGTTTTGTGTTTTCTGCTCTTAAAAAAAAGATATTGCTCGTTGCCCTTAAATTTATTTTCTCTTTTTATTCAGGCCACAAAGAATCCTTTTTATCTTCACGTAGGAATGGATATTCTTCAGAGCCTAGAGAAATACACAAAGGCAAAGTTAGTTTTCAAGCTCTTCCTTTCACATGGGTAATAGGTTTAGTTATTGGAGAAGGCAGAGATGTTGAATTTATGGCAAATGTTTTCTTTTCAGTTACTTGTGAAATAAGTTTTATTACTTTGAATTGTGTCATATTAATCATTAAGCAGATGTGTCTACTTCTGAATGAATTTTAAAGAATACTTTATCTAATGGGAATATGAACAATTTTTATCTACTTTTCTCTTTCTTGAAATTGAAGAATTTCTCAAGCAGCCAGGAGAAAAAGGCAATTGGAAGGGTACCTCCTCATTAAAAAAACACAAAAAACAGTACCATGATAAATGAAATCGTTGTCAAAGGCTTTCACAGCCAGAGTTCATTAGCTGTTGTAGATTTCCTGGGCTGTATGGCCATGGTCTTGGCATTATAGGACCTGATGTTTCGCCAGCAGCTGTGATTGGCATCCTCAGAGGTATAATAGAGAAAGATGGAGTACTCTCTATGTCATTGAAATTCATAAATATAAACACAATTTCAATAGGAAAGAAGAGAATTTAAAAATAAATAGGGCATGGTTTCCTGTCCTGGAAAACACAGAATGCTCTACATTTTACAATAGCACTACAGATAAGATTAGAATTTCAACAGTCAATCCATATGCAAAAGAACCTCCTCAGGAAAGCTCCTCCATTAGCATGTCACATCCTTGGGAACTCCTACAAGATAATGACTCAGCCCTACCCCACCTTTCTGAGTAGATATAAATTACCTGCCTACCATTTTTCTTCTCACCTTGACAGAGAGAGTACTCCATCTTTATGTGTTATACCTCTGAGGATGCCAGTCCCAGTAGCTGGTGAAATGTCAGGTCCTACAATACCAAGACCACAGCAGTACAGCCTGGAAAATTTACAACAACTAATAAATGAGGTTGCTTGCATTTGGTTCTCTTGTTTGATATTGCATACTCAGACAGAACTGACAGACAGCTCAGCCTAATAGTAGTAGTGCTCTGCTCAAAACAAATATCAGTTTATTAGGCCCTTGTGGCATCTTATTGGGGGATTGCGGCTAAGGAAGTGATGTCCAATAAAAATTTAATGTGCCTTTCAGATGTGGCTATGCTACCCTGCACCATGTCATAGAGAAGTCCAAAGAAGATCGGATGGAGAGTTTTTTTCTTAGCGAGACATGTAAATACTTGTATTTGGTACGTTTATCTTTCACCTAGTGGTCAGTTTAGATTCTCGTGTATTAAGCAGTCTTGCCCACTACAACTGTTAAAAACAAATGACAGCAATTGATGATCACTGCTGTAGTTTTTATTGTTATTGTGTGTGTATATATGTGTCATATTGGCAGATAGAAGAATATGAAATGTTTGTGGTGTGCTAGCAACCCTGTTGGTCAACATATTTTTACATTTTGGAAGTATGTATTTTGTTTTTGTGAGCATGTATGTACCTTGCTGTAGAGGAATCTGGATGAATCTGTTAGTGCAGTCTTATTGTCAAATACGCTGTTCCAAGCTTGAGGTTATATTAATGATCCATACAATCTTTCCTGCTAGTTGTTCGATGAAGAAAATCCTGTGCACAAATCAGGAAATAGATTCATGTTTACAACAGAAGGGCACATTGTGTCACTGGATAAACGTCTGCGTGTTTCATTATGGCAAGATACCTTCCCTGAAGAGGAGAAGAAAGCTGAAAAGATCAAGCGTAATGAAATCAGAGCAAACAATTCTATTTCTAATGTAAGTATAAATAAGCAGTGTAATATATAGTGTTTATGTAACGAGGTGTGGCAGAAAACTTATTATTCAAATATAGAGTGTCTGATTTGATCAGAGTATGCAGACTTTAAGAAAACACGTGCTATTTTTCAGTGTATTTATCCCTAGTTCATCTTGTGGGAAATGTCTCTTTCCTTGAATCTTT